GAGAGAGAGAGAGACAGTGAGAGAGAAAATAAGACATCACTCCCCAGTGGGGATAGCCACGCCACAATTCCTTCTCCATTCTCCTCTTGGGGTTTTGGGCACCGACGCACATGTGCCTGGTGTAACTTTCAATTTGCCAAGTCTGGGACCAAACAGCGGTCAACCATGTAGGAGCCTAGTACCTTAACCACCAAGCCACCTGCCTGCCTGGACTCTTCGGAGTCTCATCTACACTCATCATTTCAGCTCCGCAAATAGTCCCTGAGGTTCTCCCCAGCACTGGATCCTGTGGATGCCAAACACAAAGCTTCTTGTTTGTTTAAAGTTTATTTAATTTCTTCTGAAAGAAAAAGAGAGCGAGAAAGAGAGAGTCAGTTACCCCTCCCCCCCACAGGATCCCCATGCTGCAATCCAACCCCTAGCCTCAGCCGGCCTAGACCTTGGGCACGTGTGTGTGTGTGTGTGTGTGTGTGTGCACCCAGCACATACAGGGATACTTCCAGAAGCGAATCCACGACCTTCTCACGTGGGCCCAGCTTCACAGAGTGCTCTGGTACTGCTGCGCCTCTGCTGCTGGTCCGGAAGACACAGTTCACAGGATGGGAAACTGAGGCTGCTACTCAGCAGAAGAAAAAACTGGCAGCTACTCAGAGCAGCTGTGCCTGGGATAGAAGGGGAACCCCGGCAGGAGCAGCACTCACCCCTGCCCACAATAAAGCTGGGAACCAGCTGCTGCTTCCGGTGCTTGGGAACCACTGGGAGAGAAGTCATTGTTCAGCTTGGTGCTGGGCCCCTTTCCTACCCTCCAGACCTTCCCCTTCCCATTGTCCCTAGGCCCCTTACCAGGTACAGGATGCAGCTGCTGCAGAGCCCCAGAAAGAATGGGAAGGGGCTGGAGGAAGCACATGAGGCCATTTCAGGAGTCAAGGGGCTTCTGCTGGTGGTCCCCCTCCACATGAGGGGCTGGCAAAGGCTCTGCCGGTCTGGGCACTGGGTGCAGAACTCAGGTTTCGGGGGCAGACAGATCCAGATTCAAGCCCCAGCATCCACTGCTGACTCGCTGTGTGTCCCTGAGCAAGCCTCTTTCAGTCTCTGAGCATCAATTTCCTTCTTGGTTAAAGCAAGAATAAGATGCTTGCCTGATGAGGAACTTCCTACTGTAAGGAGTAACACCAAAATGCTTGACACTTGAGTATTTCAAAATGTCCACTTCTGTTCCTTCCCCTCACTTTAACTGTAGCAAAGCACCATGAAGGAGGAGGTCAAAGAGGATTCTTGTAGCAAACAGAGCAGCACTTTCCATTAGGGAAGTTAAGATGGTTTCAACTGGGTCATCCCCAAAATCACACTGAATACATTTACAACAGATCATATTGAAAAATTTATAGTTACATTAAAGAAGAGCTAACGAACAAGTACACCGTAGAGGACAGTCCTCACCCTCCCTGACACCTCACAGCACATAAAGCACTTCCATTCTGCTCTTTTCCACAGACGTTGAACAGAAGGCAGACAAGGAATATCACTGTCCCCATGCCACAAACAGAACGTGTAAGCACCAGGACTGTGGCATGACCTCCCCGAGTTCGCTTGTATCTCAGGCAAGCCTCTTTTTTTTTTGGAGAGGTTTTTGGGTTTGTTTTGTTTTGGTTTGGTTTTGGTTTTGCTCTAGGGTGTGTGCGCTTGCCAGAAAGACAGAGACAAAAAGCAAGAAATCACCCCCCAGGGGGGATGGCCACTCCGCAATCCCTTCTCCTCTGTTCTCCTCCATTCTCCTCTTGGGATCTTGGGCATGCTCGCATATGCACCCGGTGTGAGTTTAAGCCACTGGATCCAGAACTTGAACCACAATCAACTACATGGGAGTCCAGTGACATAGCCATTCTGCCAACTGCTGGTCCCTATCTCAGGCAAGTCTTAAATGGGTTACCAGGGTTCCACAGAGGGTCATGACATAAACAACCCCCTAGGAGAAGATAGATCACAACTTGGTGGGTCCTGATGGAGGAGGATAGCGTGGGCCTCTCAGTGCAGGAGCCCCAGCTCCAAGGCGATTGGTTCAGTCCCTGACTTTGAGTGTCCCCGGCCTGAGGGAGGAGGTCAGACAGGTATCCAAGAGCTCCTGGGAGAAGGAAAACACTTGGCTAGCAGCTCCTGAAGGGTGACTCCGAATCCTGTGGGACATTTACCCAATATGGGGGGGGGGAACGTTATCTATAGGTCACAGACAAATGCACAGACAGCAGGACCAAGAGATGGATGCAGCAGAAGCAGCCCCTTGCCTGCCAAATCTACGCCCAGCCTTTCACCCATGAGTGGCCCACAGGACAGCCCTGGGGAAGGCCTCCACCTGCAGAGAAAACAGGGTCTGGCTGACCAGAAGTCTTTACAGCTGGGATTGTACATGCTGGGCCCTGCCCCTTCCCCTGGGTTCCTCAACCCCTGGTTCCCTTGGTAAAGACGTGGCATCTACAACACAGGAGGGCATCCACACTGGGCCTGGTGACCCCAGGATGTGTTTGCGAAGTGATTTCTGAAGCCAGGATCCTCATCTTTCAGGAAAGCACTAGTGCAGGACTGTCCAGAAAAACTATTTGTGACAATGAAACTGTGCTGCCCAATAACCACTAGCCACTTATGACTACTGGGCCCAGCGGCCAGTGATACTGAGGAACTAATTTAAAGCTTTTATTTCATTTTAATTAAGTAAAAAGCAGATCTGAATTGCCATATGTGGCTAGTGGCCACTGTATGAGACCGCGCAGCTGTAGAAATAAGAGGACAATAAAAACGGAACACCACCACCGTGATTTGGGGCTTCAAATGCACTTTCACAAGCATCTTCTCATTGCCCTGTGAAACAGGTGTTAAGCTCCATTTTACAGAAGAGAAAAGGGACAATCAGAGAAGTTCAGTAGCTTCCATGCTGACAGAGGCATGATTTAGTCTCAGATGTCTTGATTCCAAAGCTACACATCCCTCTATGCAACACTGCCCACTTACGCAGTCGTCACCTATTTATTGGGTCATCGTTGCAAGGTGCATACCTCTGGGCTAGACACTCAAAGACAAAGCAGACACAGGCCCAGGCTTTGGATGGGAATGCCCAAAGGCGTGTGGTTGCCGTAATAAGAACGTGAGTACAAAAATTACTTTAAGTGACTTTCTTTCAGAGAGCTCAAAGCACTTTGTTTTAAATGCCACTTACATCTGCCAACTCTCCAATTTATATTTCAGGCCCCAACCTCTGCCCCAAGCTCCCAATGGATATACCAAACAGCCTCCTTGACATCTCTGTTGAATAGCGAATTGGCTTCTCAAGCTAGCCCAAGCCTACAGTTCCCTATCACAGTAAATGGCAATTCTCTTCCAGTTGTGCCACACTCAAACCCTGGAGTCACCACGGCTCCTTTTACTCAGCATGTTCCGTCTAACCTGCCTAGCAGCTATTTCCACTCTATCTTCGAGTAGCTTCCAGAATGCTCACCATCTCCATCCACTGCTGCCAGCCTCATCTTCAACATCATCTCTAGCTGAACTAGAGCAAACTGGTCTCCTGGGTCTCTCGTTCTCCCCAGTTTTTTTCCACGCAGTACTCAGAGTGGACTTTTTAAATATTAAAAAGCTAGCATATGCCTCCTCTCACTTCTTTGGTCCATAAGGCCCTATGAGATCTGGCCCCTGGTACTTCTTTGGCCTTATTTCCTGCCACTCTCCTTGCTCTTTAAGTCTTCTGAAACGGCAGTCCCCAACCTTCCCAACACCTGGACTGGCCTTGGAGAAGATAATCCCTCAAGGATGAGGAGCAGAGTTGATCCCAGGGTAACCTAAGTATGTGCTATCCACTGTACACCCCATTTTCGCCACTGCTGCATGGCAATATACAGTGAAACAATCACACAACAATAGGGTTCCTGGGCCCATGAGATTCCAATACAGCCCTGATGGACAGGAGGTGGAGCCCAGGCAGCCATGGGACTTGGTTGCAAATGAAATAAGCCTCCCTTGCTTTTTGGTGGGCCACCACCACCACCACGCAACCCATTGGACTGGCACTGCTCTGTGGCCTGGAGGTTGGGACCCTTGTTCTAGAAAAGTCACTCCTTTCTGCGGCCATCGCATAGCACCTTCCCTGGCTTTCTCAAACCTCTGACCAAATGTGCCTTTACCAGAGCATCACTCTCTATCACCTCAGCACACTTACTTCCTGACATTTATGTTTTTGCCAGTTTCTCTCTCCTCCCACAGACTGTAAGCTTCAGGAATAGATTGACGGATAAGATCCAGGAGGTCCAGTTAAACTGAACTTCAGATGAATAAATCATTCTTTTTCAGTATAAGGATGACCCAGATGTTGCATGAGATCTAGTTATACTAAAATCTAAAGGTCAAACCTTAGTAGGCATCCTGTGTTTTTATTTGCTACAACTGTCAACACTACCAAGGAAGACAAGCACAGCGGTTACTGTGTTCGCTGCGGTATCCCCAGCGACCTAGCAGCTCCCGATACACAGTAAGCTCTCAGTAAATATTTGTTGAATGAATGAATGTGTTCAACCAGTCGTTAATCCGAAACGCGCCTAAACTTTTAATAAACAGACGGAGTCAGTGGGGCGGTGCCTCTAGGATGAGTTAGTCCTGTTCACAAGGAGACCAATGCAGCTGAAGAACTCTTCAAGCAGGTCGGTCGAGCAGTTGGGTGCTTTGCGTGACCCCGCCCCCGCTCCACAGAAAGCAAGGCTCCGCCCCGGCTCAGGTGAGTGGCAGGTCCCTGGCAGCCCCTCTCGGGGCGGGGCCTTCCTAACCGGCGTGCGAGACCCAGCCCCTCCCGGGTTAGGGCCCCTTTACCGCCCCGCCTCCCGCCGCCAAT